GCATAAAAAGGTAAACAGGAAAGGGAAATCATAAGAGACTTTATAAGTTTAAACTGTTTACACTCCTACATGGGAAGATGATATTTGTAACTCATGAGAACTTTCTCATTATTAGGGCAGTCAGAAGGAGTATATACAGACAGAGGGTACAGGTATAAGTTGAATATGAAGGGATGATATCTAAAAAAATAAAATTAATGGGTGAAAGAAGAATGTACTAGGAGAAAGGGAGAGGTAGAATGGGGTAAATTATCTCACATAAAACGGCAAGAAAAAGCTTTTACTGTGGAGGTGAAGAGGGGACAGGTAAGGGGGAGTGAATGAACTTTAGTCTCATCAGAACTGGCTCAAAGAGGGAATAACATAACATACTCAATTGGGTACAGAAATCTATCTTACCCTACAGGAAAGCAGGAGTGGAAGGGAATAACAGAAGGGTGGGGGGATGATAGAAGGGAGGACAGATTGGGGGAGGGGTAGTCAGATGCAAAACTTTTTTGAGGAGGGATAGGGTGAAAGGAGAGAGAGAATGGAATAAATGGGGGGAATTAGGATGGAAAGAAAGTTTTACAGTTAGCAATTACAGTTAGTAATCATAACTGGAAAAAAATTGAAGCAAGTTTCTCTGATAAAGGCCTCATTTCTCAAATATATAGGGAAATGAGTCACATTTATAAAAATAAGAGCATTCCTCAATCAATAAGTGATCAAAAGACACAAACAGTTTTCAGATGAAGTAATCAAAGCTATCTATAGCCATATGAAAAAATGCTCTGACTCACTATTGACTGGAGAAATGCAAATTAAAACAATTTTGAGGTACTATCTCATACTTATTAGATTGTCTAATAACAACTGAAAAGGAAATCGAGAAATATTGGAGGGGATGTGGGAAAAATGAGACATTAATGCACTGTTGGTGGAGTTGTGATCTGATTTCAACTATTTTGTAGAACAATTTGGAACTATGTCTAAAAGGCTATAAAACTGCACATAGCCTTTGACCTAGCAATAACCACTATTAGGTCTTTATCCCAAAAAAGAAAAAACAAAAAGGAAAAGGAAAAGGAAAAGGATCTATCTATATGTACAAAAATATTTATAGCAGCTCTTTTGTGGTGGCAAAGAATTGGAAATTTAAGGGATAACCATCAGTTGTGGAATGGTTGTGGTATTATGATTATGATGGAATTCTATTTTGCTATGAGAAATGATGAACAGAATGCTCTCAGAAAAACCTGGAAAGACTTACACGAGCTGATGCAAAGTGAAATGTACTTTGTACAAAGTAACAGCAATATTATAAGATGATCAGCTGTGAATGACTTGGCTATTCCTAGGAGTACAATGATCCAAGACGATTCTGAAGGACTTATGATGAGAAATGTTACCCATTCTGAGAGGGGGAACTGATAGTGTCTGAATACAGATGAAGCATACTTTTAAACTTTATTTTTCTTGAGGTTTTTTTTGTTTTGGTCTATGTTTTTTTTTCACAACATGACCAACATGGAAATGTTTTATATGACTACACATGTATAACCTATATTGAATTGCTTGCCTTCACAATGAGGAGGGATAGAGAAGGGAGAGAATTCAGAATTCAAAGTTCTAAAAAATGAATGTTAAAAATCATTTTTACATGTAACTGGGGAAAAATAAAATACTAAATAAATTTTCAAAAAAAGGGAGAGAGAGAAGAGGTACCACATACCAGGCTCATTAAACTACTACCACCACCTAAACCTCTCAAACCCTGTATAGGCCAGCACCTGACACTTAACAATGCCGTGCCACTCCAGATAGGATCTACTTAGAGGCAGCGGTGGCAGCTAGGTGTTATAGCGAATAGAGCACCAGACCTGAAGTCAGGAAAACCTGAGTTCAAATTTGGCCTCAGACAATTACTAGCTTTGTGACTCTGGGCAAGTCATTTAACCTGTGTTTGTCCCAGTTTCTTCAAGTATAAAATAGGATAGGGATAACAGCAAGTATTTCAAAGGATTGTTGAGAGGATCAAATGAGATATTTGTTAAAAGTGCTTAGCACAGCAGCAGCTGGGTGGCACAATGGATAGAGCACTGGCCCTGAAGTCAGGAGGAGCTGAGTTGAAATCTGGCCTCAGACCAAACACTTGACACTTATTAGCTGTGTGACCCTGGGCAAGTCACTTAACCCCAGTTGCCTAATTAAAAAAAAAAAGCGCTTAGCACAGTGCCTGGTACATAGGTGCTACATAAATATTTATTCCATTCCATTCCTGGACCCCACAGCCCTAATCAAAAGAAGTAACCCCTGTGAAGAAGCTCACCATCCTTGTGGACTACTAACACAGATTACTGACCAACTTTTAGTGACAGGTTAAAAGCCAAGAGTCATCAGCCTCCACAACCAACACTAAGGAGGGGGGGCATCCTCAGTGGAAAAGGGGCTTACCATCCTCACCAACACTACTACCAACTGTTGACCAACTTTTACCAACCTAAATTCCCTCAATTGAGGGAAGACTAAGAAGCCTAGGAATAGCTGGTTATTTGCTTCCTTCTTTGCTTTCCTTTCTTTTTTTCTCCCTCTCCCTCTCTTCCTCTCCCCAGTTAGCTCTTAATCCCCAAACTCACCTTGCTTCCAGACTAGCCTCCTCAGCAACCCTTGTGGAGATGAAAAATGGCAACTGCTTTCGTAGGTGCTGCAGCTCGTCTCTTCAGCAGCCATGACTACTTTAGTTAAATACAAAAAACAAAAGTTCTTGACACTGACAAATGGCTCAACATCAGATAATAGATTTTTATCACTGGATATCACATTAAAAACATTCATTACCATATGCTTTGCCTCTGTTCACTAAGGACCATACAGTCTTTCTATCTGACTTGCAGCTAAACCATCTTATATTCTATTAGAATTTAAGCTCCTTGAGATCAGGGACTGTCTCCCATTTTCCACGTGTAAGATTGCAAAGAGGAACCTTGAAGTCACTTACAGACTGTCCTATAGATCAAAGGAACATAACAGTTACTTGTAAACTCTCATAAACTAACCCAAAACCACATTCTGTCCTAAATCAAGTATGCTAGTTCAGTCTCACCATAAAGGTGAAGTCCTGCTGATTGCCCATCTAAGGTCTGTAAGCCTTAGATGTGTTACATAAATCTGCAGGACACCAGCAAGACACCATAACTTTGAGATGATGCAGTTATGTTAAGTAACTAACCTCAAGTTGGCACAGATAAGAATTAGTCTGTCTTCTACCAAAACCCTAAAAAGTGAGACTCCACACTCCTACCCTGAGTACTCTTCCATTTTCCACGGGTTCATTCTATTCCAGCGCTCCCAACTCCAATCCCTGGTTACCAAACTGTGTGCATCCCCTGCTCATTCTCTTCCCCATGTTGCCTGTATCCCTCTACCCCTAAGCTCCACTATCTGGCTCTATATCCTGCCTCTCCCCTCCCCCCTCTGCCCCATCATTTCTCTTTGTACTTTTTGTGCCTTATAAGTGTGTGACTGAAACATTAATCCTTGGTGCCATCATGGTCTTTCTCAGGAAGTACTCAAAAAACTGGGCAAGCCCACCTCCACTTGACCCAGAGAAAATACCTTGTGATGCCACATCCTTATTCAACTAATAATTCTATAAATTAACTAGCAATTTAATAGTAAACTCTTAAATTTTTTTCATTCATTTATAGCACCTATTTTGGTCATTTTCAGTCAGGTCCCACTCTTTATGACTCCTTTCTGGGGTTTTCTTGGCAAAGATACTAGCGTGGTTTGCCTTCTCCAGTTCATTCTGCCATGAGGAAACTGAGGCAAACAGGGTTAAGTGACTTGTCCAGGGTCACACAGTTACTAAGTATCTGAGGGTGGACTTGTACTCAGGTCTTCCTGACACCAGGGTTGGCTCTCTATCCACTGTGCCACCTAGCTGCCCTGGGTACCATACAGCATGCATTCATGTATGTACACACACCACTTAGGCACACTCAAAAAATACCTGTTGAATAAAGAAGTAGCTTGCCCACTTTAAGTATCAACTCACTTTTAGTATTTTTCATTAGCTTCAAAATTTTGTTGCTTTTTTCCTTGTTTTTTTCATATTTTTTAAAATTGATTTTTATTTATATCTTTTGTTTTTTCACATCACCTTAGTTTTCCTCAATATCCCTTCTGTTCCCCCTTCTAGAAAGCCAGGTGGGGCCTGTCTTCTCATCTCTTCTTTTCAAGATATGTATGCCTCTTTATAATTTTGCTACATTCACTTTCTATTTGGTATGTGTGTTCTTTCCATTTACACTGTTGTAGTCATCATGTATATTGTTTTCTAGTTTTTGCTTACTTCACTCTGTATCATTTCATGTAGCTTTTTCCATACTTCTCTGTATTCACCACATTACTTCTTACAGCACAGTCCATTAAATTCTCGTCCCATAAATTCTAATTCTAAAACCAGCTCTACTCTGGGAACCTCTAATTCCTCCACCAAGGGGGTGTTTGTTATTTTTCAGTCCTGTCTGACTTTTCATGTAGGGTTTTCCTGGCACAGACGCTGGAGTGTTTTGCTATTTGCTATTTCCCTCTTCAGCTCATTTTACAGATGAGGAACTGAGGCAAACAGGGTTAAGTGACTCGCCCAGGGTCACCCAGCTAGTATGTGTCTAAGACCAGATTTGGACTCAAAAGGATGAATCTTCCTGACTCCGGGATTGGCACTCTCTCCACTGCACCCCAGACCTACCCTCATCTCAATCTCACCCCAGTGCCCAACCTTGCCCAGCTCGGCTCACCAGCCACGCCTTCCCAAGTCCCGCTTCTCCTCCGTGCTCCGCTTCTCTCAAGCCTTCCTACAGAGCTCTGCCCCGCCTCCTTCCCTTTCCCCCTTAGTCCCACCAGCTCTCTATCCCCGCGCACAGCTCTCACGCTTCCCCCTCCTCTTTCCTTTCTTCCACTCCCCTACGGTGCGCTGGGACGTGGCAGCTTGACGTGAGAGCGTGCGTGCGTACGCGGCCGGCAGTGAGGTAGCGCTCATGGTGACGTTATCCCTGTCCGGAAGTGGCTTAGCTAGGCGAAAGCGGCCATGTTGCGTCAGGTGAGACTTGTGCGAGTTATTCTGTAGAGTTGCTTATACGGTTAGAGTTAGGGCTGGGGTTACAAGCTATGGGCAAGTGGTGGCTACGGGGTTGTAGTGGTACTGTCTCAAGGAAGGAGAGGAAGTTCTGGGGACCTCGAAGTGAAGGTGTGCAGTGAGAGGACTAATTTCTACTTTTGTATTCAGTGAGGGCTCCTTGAAATCCAACTTTTTTTGGGGGGAGGGGGCAATCTTTTCCCAGTTTTGATGACAACGATGGCTTATTTTTTATATCTATATACCTTTAAAGCGCTTTCAGAAATTTATGGTTCGAACGGACTTTTTATTAAATCTATTACAACTTCATCTCACAGAGGAAGAAACGGGACTAGAGAGCTTTAGTGACTTGCTTGGGGTCAGAATTTGACCTCAGAGCCTAGTTCATTTGGCGAAGACGTTGCAGCGCTTTTGAAAAAACAAGGTAGTTCCAGCAGTTATACTTTAAAACACTGATACATTTTCATTAGCTAAAATAGGGATAGGTACTGGACCTGTGTTTTAATTGCGAAAGGTACCTTCACGATGAGGGAATGCCCACTGTACTATGTTGCTTCTCATATTTTTTAAATAGAGGTTTTAGTTTGCTGATCTGTAGAATTAGATTAGATTTAATTGAATTCTAAGAGCTACATAGTTCGGTTAATTTCAGCAAGCATTTATTAAGTAAGCACCTGTAAACCAAGGTACTGGGGATGGAGGGTGTAGAGATGGAGAAATGACAGAGCCTCTGTCCTTACAATCCAGTGGGAGGGGGAACAAATCACAGATAAATGTGATACAGAATACAGTATCATACTAGTAAAGGAGAGTTCCTGATACATTGCTCAGGAGGAAAATTGAAGTAGAAAGGTTTTTTAACTGGTATATTTGAGAGGGCTTCCGGGTGGACGTAGTCTTTTAGCTGGACTTTGTTGCAAATGGCTTTCATATGCAGGTTGAGGAGGGAGTAGGAAGATTATTTTGGTAGCTGGGTAAAGAGTAGTTTGGAGAGAGAAAAAAACAGGAAGGCAGTTACAGTAGTTCTGGTGAGAGAGGAGCCAGATACAGGAATTCTTAACCTTTTTTTCCTTCATGAATTTTTTGACAGAATGGTGAAGCCTAAGGACTCTTCTCAGAATAATGTTTTTAAATGCATAAGCTAGGATCACAAAGGAAACCAAGAAACCAATTATTAAAATTTGGTTGACGAAATATTTTGAAAGTCCATACCTCATGTTAAGAACCTCTGATCTAGAAGATTAGTAGTAAAGGGAGATACGGAGTGATAGTTTGAGGGGCCAGTAGTGTCAAAGGGATGGTTTTTAAGGATATGAAAGACCTAAGTTTATTGGTAACATACATATTACATGTAACATGGGGGAGGAATGGCTAGAGACACTTGTGAGAGACAGAGAGACAGAGAATAAACTTGAGAAGATGGAATTTAAGTTGTTTAGATACTAAACTATAGATATGCACAAAAATGCCAAGTACTTAAAAATTATTATTATCATTATTATTCGATTAGGCCTGTGACTTCCTTGACATAGGGAATTCCTTATGAGAGGATACCCTGTCAATGCAGAATTGACATCTACTCTTGGAATATAGAATTGCTTGAGCACTTTGCCTCTTCTACACGGTCACCTGTCTTCCTGACTGCCAGAGTACTTCTGTGCCAGTTATTTTAAAGCACGTTTAAGTGAAATAAAGACATAGTCTTATTCTTTGGGATTTTGAGATCCACCATTTTATCAATGTAGGCACATTTAAAAAGTTCATTCTTGATGGTTTGCTGAAGACTTTTTTTTATATCACTATTACTTCCCCAATTAAATACTTAATCTGCCATTCCTGAGAGCTTATATAATGATCTATACTAGCAGTCCACAATTTTTTTTTAATTTTTCTGAAAGGAGGGAAATATATTTAAACAATAGTCCTCTGTAACTGATGGGTCTTTACATTAATTTGAATACCAACTTTGTTTTCCTTTGATATTATTGTTCACATTGCACATCTTGTTTTCTCATTCTTAGAACGCTTCTCACATTTCTCTTAATTCCTCATATTTGTCATTTTTAATGGTGCAATAATAATCTTTTACATTCATATGCCAAATTTTTACTATGCTATTTACCAGTTAATAGGCACCTGCTTTCTTTTTAGTTTTTTCCTGCAATGTAGTCATTCCTCCATAGAGGCAGATGGTAATCCTTCCACATTTTAGTGCATGTTTTTCTAAATTTCTGTGGTCATTCTTCTTTTAACAAGTTACACTGTTCCTTGAATGGTAGTATTTCTGAGGCTATACTCATTAATTTTCCAGCTTGTTAGGACTTGTCATTGATTGTATTCTGAGAGCCTAGGGATCCCTCTGTATTGGAGTAGAATATTAATGGAGGGGTATAGACATATGTATGTTTATTCCAAATGTTTTGGAGTTGAGGAACCTCTTGAAGACAGCAGGTCTTTTTTATGCTATTTTTATTTGGATTATAGATATTTTGTCAAATGGTTAGGAAAGAGAGAAACTAAGAATTAAAGGGTATATTTGGTAAATTAGGCTTGGAGGCAACCAGTTCTGCTGACACATCTGCTTTATTGAATTATTATTTTATCTCTAAAAATCACTTTGGTCAGCTACATTCCTTTAAGAAACACTTAAGAGCCATTCTTGCATATGTATTGTACTAAGCTGTGAGAGGCATGTGGAAACATACTCTCCCAGTCCTTAAGCTTATAGAAAAGATAAATGAATTTATATGGATAAAAATTACAAAGCCCTATATAAGAAAATGAATTATCTAGCTTAATGCGTTTTATTCCTTTCTATAAATTGATTTTTCCTTTCATCCCTCCTCACTCTTATTAGGTGATTGTAATCAACACAAATGAGTTGATATTCAGGTCTTTTGCTATCATGCCTCTGTATGGTAAAGAAATTATGTGTTTACTGTATTTAGTCAATTTCTAAGCTCTTTCGGCCTCCCGATGATAATTACATTTTATGTGTTAAATTAACATAGGAAATGTTGGTGGTAGTCTATGTCAATCTTTTATCCATTTCCTACTTTCTGTTAATTTCTTGAATAACTTTTGATTATACAACATTCTAATTACGTGTTGATTTTAATTTTTTTTCTAACTAGTCTGTGGCAGGGCCAGCTTAACTTTGTGTCTATATTTTATAGTAATTACCTGGTTTGTAGTTGTTATACCCCTTTTCATAATGCCTGTAATGATATAACTGCTATTTAGGATTTTTGTAAAATACAAATTCCTTTGTGAATACTTTTTTTTAAAAAAAAGTATTATTTGTTTTCTAAAAAAAAAGTATCAAGGGAAAACTTAAGTGTCTTAAGCAAGGAGAGATTTGGTAATTGTGGCTAAGTTATTGAGAAATAAAGAAAACTTCTTACACCAGGGAGTTGTAGTCATTGTTTATTTTCATGCTTACATATACAATTTAATGTTTTCTGTTATTTTACTTTACTAGCCTTAAACTGCTGAGATCATTCCCCTAGCTCCAAAAATTATAATTACACCAATACTTCCATAACTATCATTCCATTTAGCCAATCACTGTTGAAGAACTTTTTGGAATTGGAACATTGGTACAAAGTTAACATGCATTAGAGAAAGGATCTTTTCTTGATACAAAGAAAAAACTGGTGAACCCTCTTTGGTACTACCATAAAGACATTTTGCCCATAAGATGTATTGATAGCATTGTAACCATCAGCCTTTTGGGGATCTGTCAGCTCCATACCCCTCATGAGTTGATCTAAGACCAAAGGCCCTGCCATATATCACAAATAACTAGTGAAGACCCAATTTGAGGTTCATCACTAGGAACCAAAGCATCCCTATCTTCAATCCCCTGAAACCTTACTCCCTATAAAGAGTATACTTTAGTGAATCTCAGTAAGATACATAAGCTTTGTGCATGATCTGTTCTTCCTTTCTGCTGTGGGGGCTAGTTTACCACAAAAATCACTTATTCAGAAAGCAGTTAGTTGGTCTTTAATGTAGGAAATAATAGGAGCAGGAAAATTTGATTACTCATAAATTATTCCTATGGACCCAAAAACAGTTCTAGTCTATCTATATTGGTGGGGAATCTGCAGCCTCAAGGCCACATGTGGCCCTCCAGGCTTTTCTGAGTGGCCTCCAGGCCACTGAATCCAAACTTCACAGAATAAATCCCCTTAACAAAAGCCTCAGGTTTACCACCCCAATATAGACAATTGACTTGGAAATGCTTTAAGATATAGTTAATTCCTTTTTTGTGTGATGTTATTTATTACTCCACATTTCTAGGATCTCTTGGTTTTGTCCTTGAAGAATATACTCATGATTTGTGGATTGGTACTTCTATGTAATCTACAACCCTTTGGTTTTTTTTCTTAGTTATGAGCAGTATCTTAGGACACTTTTTCACTTTTCACTGTTTTTTCGTGTGCGCACTCCTGCAGTGTGCCCATTCAGTGCAGTTAATACTATTAAAACAAATATTGATTTAATTTTGAGGATCTAATTGAGGGTCTTTGGAGGAGAGGTGGCAGCAATATTTCTCTGCTTTCTCATCCTTATAAGCTGAAATTGTCTCAGTGATTTACTTTTTGCTCATGCTCATCATGATTATTGCAATGTCAAATGACTAAGCAGCCTGTAACATAGTGTGCATTATTGCCTTTGAATGAAATATATTTTTCTAGAGGGAAAAAAACAACAACAATGCCGCTAAATTTGACTTGTTTCTTATTTTCTTTCTTGAAGGCAGGGAGACTGTTGACATGTTGACTGGGGTAATCTGATGGATCTTCCTTAACTCTTGGGATCACTAGGGATTGGACACATACCGTTCACTCTCTTTTATAGCTAGGTGTTGCAGTGGGTAGGGTACTGGACTTGGAGTCAGAAAAACCTGAGTTCAAATCCTGCCTCAGACCCAGCAGTGTGACCCTAGGCAAGTCACTTAACTTGCCTCAGTCTTATTTCTTCATCTGTGAAAGGAGGCTGACCTCCAGTGCTCTAAACCTATGATCCTGTGATAATCCATATCTTCCCTGTTCTCTCTGAGGCAGTGATATCAAGAGAAGGAGAACCAAAATATATCGTTGTTGTTGTTCAGTTCTTTTTCATTTGTGTCCAACTTTTTGCGACCCCATTTGCGGTTTTCTTGGCAAAGATACTGGAGTAGTTTGCCATTTCCTTCCCCAGCTCATTTTACAGATGAGGAAACTGAGGCAAACAGGATTAAGTGACTTATCCAGGGTCAAATAGTAAGTGTCTGAGGTCAGACTCCTGACTTCAGACCTGGCACTATATCCGTGGTGCCACCTAGCTACTCCGAAATATGTCATGGAGACTATAACAGCCATTTGAGAAATCCATACCCCCAAGGCTTTTCTTATTTGTCTTCCTAAAACTAATTGAGTGTGGTTCAATTGGTAGTTAACTTCATTTATTTATTTGGTCTCATCTGTATTAGTGTAATTGAGAAGGTTTAATTTTGATTCTGATCTTGTTGCATTGCATTTTGAATTAGACCATTTTCCTTTTAGGATAGTAATGATGACACTGAAGATGTTTCACTGTTTGATGCCAGTGATGATGAGTCAGCCAGGAAGCCAAGGAAGGTGAAAATCAGGTATGAATATACTTGTATGATATTGGTGTCTTGGGAAGTTCTGTCCTGTAGTGAAGGCCACTGTTGTATTGAGGTTGGGTAAGGATTATTGCATTATACTTCTTTGTAGGCCTCATAAGAATACAAGTCATTCCTCAATTCATAAATAGTCAAAGGATATGAACAGACAGTTTTCAGATGAAGAAATTAAACCATCTATAGTCATATGAAAAGCTCTAAATCACTATTAATTAGAGAAATGCAAATTAAAACTCTGAGGTACCACCTCCACCCTGTCAGATTGGCTAACATGACAAAACAGGAAAATGATAACTGTTGGAGAAGATATGGGAAAATTTAAACATTGTTGGTAGAGTTGTATACCGCTCCAACCATTCTGGAGAGCAATTTAGAACTGCATAGGCAGCTCTTTATGTGGTGGCTAAGAATTGGAAATTGAGGGGATACCCATTGACTGGGGAATGGCTGAGCAAGTTGTGGTATATGAATGTAATGGAATACTATTGTTGCATAAGAAATGTTGAGCAGACAGACTTCAGAAAAACCTGGAAAGACTTGCATGAACTGATGCTGAGTGAAATGATCAGAACCAGGAAAACATTGTACATAGTAACAGCAACATTGTATGATGACAAACTTTGATAGACTTAGCTCTTCTCAGCAGTGCAATGATCTAAGACACTTCTGAAAGACAGAAAATGCTATCCACATCCAGAGAAAGTACTATGGAATCTGAATGAAGATTGAAGCATACTATTTTCTCTCTCTTTTTAAATTTTTTTTTCTTTCTCACAGTTTTTCCCTTTGGTTATTATTCTTATTTACAATATGACTGATGTGGAAATATGTTTAATATGATTGTACATGTATAGCCTGTAACAGATTGCATGCCATCTTGGGGAGGAGGGTGGGAGAGTAAGGGGAGAAAATTTAAAACTCAAAATCTTATTAAAGTGAATGTTTAAATCTAAAAATAAATAAATGTTAAAAAGTAATGCACATTAAACTTTTAAAATATCCTTTGTATTACCTTTAGTTTGTAAATCTTTATATTGTGGGGTTGTGGGAAATGGCACTTTAAATTTGCTGAGCAAATCTGGTATATAAAAATCTCAATTTATAAACAAATTAGGAAATGATTTGACTGTATAAAAGAATAACAGGTTGCATTGGATGAGAAAGTATGGATGGATTTTGATCACCATTGATGAATGTGGAGGGAGTGCTCAAATCTGTCCCTGATTCATGGAATGATCAGTCAAGGTTCATTGTAGCATAAAACATACTTGACTAATAATCAGGAAGCCTTAGTTTCAGCCTTTACTAGCTGTGTGACCTTGGGCAAATCATTTTACTTTTCTGGCTCTCAGGATCTTAGAATCATAGAGCTGGAAAAACCTCTAGAGGCCATAGTTTTCTACATCTGTAAAATGAATTGGACTAAACAAATTTAAAGGTCTTTTCTAGCTCTAACATGCTATACTTTTATAATTCTCCTTACCAAATGCCAATTGTATGCTCAATATTTTTCCCCTTTAACAAATTACCATAGTGTTTTTTTAATTATTTAGTATTTTATTTTTCCCAATTACATGTAAAAACGGTTTTTAACATTTTGAGTTACAATCTCCTTTCCCTCCCCCTTCATTGAGAAGGTAAGTACTTTGATACAGGTTATATAGTGTAGTCTACAAACATTTTCACATTTGTCATGTTGCGAAAGATAACATAGACAAAAAAAAAAGGGAAAGGATAAATTAAGAAAGTTAGAAAAAAGTATGTTTCAACTTATATTCAGACTCCACCAGTTCTTTCTCTGGAGATCGATAGCATTTTTCATAAGTGCTTCAGAGTTGTCTTGGATTATTGTATTGCTGAGATTAGCTAGGTCATTCACAGTTGATTGTCATACAGTATTGCTGATACTGTATACAGTGTGCTCCTAGTTCTGCTCATTTCACTTTGTATCACTTCATGTACATTTTTCCAGATTTTTGTGAGAGCATCCTGCTCATCATTCCTTATAGCACTATAGTATCCCATCACAATCCAATACCACAACTTGTTCAGCCATTCCCCTATTGATGAGCATTCCCTCAATTTCCAATTCTTTGCCACCAGAAAAGAGCTTCTGTAAATATTTTTGTACATACAGAATCTTTTCCTCTTTGTTGTTCTTTTTTTTTTTAATCTCTTTGGGATGTAGACTTTGTAGTGGTATTGCTAGGTCAAAGGATATGCATAGTTTTATAGCCCTTTGGTCATAGTTCTAAATTGCTCTGCAGAATGGTTGAATCTCTTCAAAATTCCACCAACAGTGCATTAATATCCCAATTTTCCCACATCCTCTCCAGCATTTATCATTTTTTTTGTCATATTAGTCAAAGTGTGAGATTGTACCTCAGAATTATTTTAATTTACATTTCTCCAATCAGTAGTGATTCAGAGCATTTTTTCATATGGCTATAAATGGCTTTGATTTCTTCATCTGAAAATTGCCTGTTCATATCCTTTGACCATTTATCAATTGGAGAATGGCTCATATTTTTATAAATTTGACTCAGTTCTCTTTATATTTGAGAAATGAGGTCTTTATTAGAGAAACTTGCTGCATTTTTTCAGTTATTGCTAACTGTATTTACCTCCATCCTATTATCCCCGTTTATTTTATTCTCTCTCCTTTTATCCTATCCCTCCTCAAAAGTGGTTTTTAATTAATTTGCTTTAAACTTAAGTACAAAAACTTAAATACACAATAAGAAAAGAACAAGAAACATAAACTTAAATACCAAATAAGAGAAGAAAAGTATTGCTATGTGCCAGTAGAATATAAGAGGATTCAAAATATACAGCAATATATTTCCATTTCAAGAAAGTCTATATAATACTATGCCTTGTGTTCAGAGCTGTCCATCTTTTCTTTGCTTCCTGGTAAGTTTTCTTTTGTTCTCTACTGTATACTTTTTGTTTTGTCTTTCCCCCCTTTTCCTCCACCTCCCCAAGAAGGTATAATTAAGCAAGGATATATATTTTACATACACACACATATGTACACATATATACATACATATGTAACTTAGTGTTTTTTTAAAGTAAGTTCTAGTATTGCGTTTAAATAGGATTTGGTTTACAAAATTCAGGAACACAGCATTCACTTCCTATCAATCAGTAAGCATTTATTGAATGCCTACTATGTGCTAGATACTGGGGGTTCAAACACAAAGAATGAGCCATACTCTACTTTGAAGGAGATTACAGTATCTTGGGTAGATAACACGTACACATATGTGTAAGTACATACAGAATAATTATATACAAACTAAATGCAAAGTAGGGAGGGAGGGTGGGCAGACATTAGCAATTGGAGAAAAAATGAAAAGCTTCAGGTAAAGGTTGTGCTAGAGCTTTCTCTTGAAGGAAGAGAGAGGTAGTCTCTAAGGTAGAGTTGAAGAAATGCATTCCAGGCACAAGGAATAGCCAGTACAAAGGCATGGAGATGAGAGATGGAGGGCAGTGTTTGATGAACAGAGAGAAAGCCATCTGGCTAGACAATAGTGTGCAAAAATGTGGGAAATTTATAAATAGGCTGGAAAGGTAGGTATTGGCTAGGTTGTGAAGGGCTTTAAAAGCAGGAGAGTTTATATTTTATCCTAATGGTATAGGGAGCTCCTAGAATTTGAGTAGAGGACTAACATGCCTAGCTCTACACTTAAAGAAAATCACTTTGGACAGTTTGTGGAGGATGGAATAGATGTGATTTTAGTAGGGAGACCAATTAGAAGGCCATTGCAACAGTCTGGGTGATGGGTAATGAGGGCTTGAACTTAGGTGATGGCTGTATGACTAGAGAGAAGAGATGACAAGATTTGGCAAGAGAGGTTTTAAACTGGGAGACAGAAAAAAATTGTTGTGCCAGGTATAGTGGCAAACTATAGTCCCTGCTATGGGGAGGTTAAAGGTAGTTCAGGAGTTCTGAGCGTCAATAAGGCTAAAGCTGATTAGGTGTTCACACTGACTCTGGGAGCTACCAGACTGTCTGAGGAGGGGCTGGTGCTCCAGGTTGGAAATGGGAGCCCATCAAAGTTTCTGTGCCAGTCAGCACTGGGGTTAGGCCTGTGAGTAGCTGCTGAATTTCCAGGCACTTAGAGACTTAGTTTATTTTAAAAAAAAAACTGAAGAAAAAACTTGTGGTGTCTGAAGTTTGAGAGAGGGAAAGGGTTTTGGGGAAAAAATGAGTTCTGTGATTCTGTTTCCTTTGTTTGCAGTCTAGACTTACAGGCCTTCTCTGTCTTTCACACTCAGAACTTCATCTCTTGCTTCCATTCTTTTGGATGGGGTGTTCCTCATGCTTGGAAATATAATCCCTTCTCACTTCTACCTCATAGAATCCATCTCTTTTAAGATGCAGCACAAGCACTACCTTCCACGTGAAGTTTTGCCTGATTCCTTACAACTGCTGTTGCCTTTTTCCCATAAACACTTTGTATTTATTCTCTTTATAGTCTGTATGTTTATATATCTATTAATTCTATTCTATATTAAAGGCAGGTAAGTGGCATAGTGGATAGAACTCGACCTGGAATCAGGAACCCTGAGTTCACTTCTGGCCTTGTATACTTAATAGCTCTGTGACTCTGGGAAAATTATTTAACTGCAATGTACTTCAGTTTCCTCATCTATAGAATGGGAATAATAATAGCATCTGTTGTTCAGGTTTTTGTAAGGATAAAATATTTGTAAAGTGCTTGGTAAACCTTTAAAGCACTATTTAAATGTTACCTATTACTGTTATCAGAATTGCTATTTTGTATATACTTACACATGTACTTATTTCCCCATTGGAATGTCAGCTCCTTTGTAAGTAGGGATTTTTCATTTTTGGCATTTGTATTCCCAGAGCCTAACCTTATTTTCCTCATAACATATTTAATAAATGCTTATTAATTAGTTGATTTGGATCTGATGAGTTATGTCTCTGGGACATTCGGTTTGAAATGATTAATATGCAACAGTTGGTGATTTCAAAAATGAAAATCTGGAGAGAGTGAGACTAGGTATTTAGATTTGTGAGTTATCTACATAGATATGGTAATTAAACCCATGGGAGTTGATGAGGTAATCATGAGAAAGAGTGTATAGAGTATCATAAGGATTATGATGACGAGATCACAAAGGTAGGGAAAAAACCTAGAGAGGAGAGGCTTTCAAGGAGAAGAGTAATCAAATGTCAAATGCAGAAGATGAGTCAAGAAGGATAAGGACTGACAAAATGCCGTTAGATCTGGAAATTAGACAGAAATGAACAATTAAGACATTGAATTATTATTAAGACATAACTTTGGAGAGCAGTTTCAGTTTAGTGATTAGGTCAGAAGGTAAATTGCAAAGGGTTGCCGAGAGAAACTACAGAGAGTGAGTGTAAGTAGCTTTTTTTTTTTCCTGGAAGTTTGGCTGAGGAAGGGAGGAGAGATAAAGAATGATAGCTCGAAGCTGTATTAGAGTCAAAGAAGGTTTTTAAGGATGGGGCAGACTTGGGAAAAATATGTGAGACTTTCCAGCTATTATATTTTAGTCCCTTTCACTCACTTTTAGCCAAATTTAGCCTGTTTTTTGTTTCTTGTCGGTAGTATTTTAGCTCTCGCACTAGTTCCCCATTCCTGAGATGCTCTTTCTCTTCATTTTCTGGAACCTCTAGTTCCCTTCAAGGCTCATCCCAAGTGCTATCTCCTTCAAAAAGCATTTTCTACTTCCATCTAGTTGTTAGTGCCTTTTATTACTATATTTCAAAAATAACTTCTCCATGAATATGTTACATTCTCCCAATATTCCTTGTGGGCAGAGACTGCTTCATTTTCATATTTCTGTTTCCATTGCCTTGCACAGTTCCCAGTTAGGCACATGAAAACTTAATAAATGCTTGTTGATTGATTAAAGTAGAAAAGAATAGCTATATAGAAATTGGGTCAAAAAATCTTGTACTTGGAAATGTCAGTGCCTTAAAATGGTCTATTCTGTCTAATATTTTTAATGAAATAAAATGTTTCTGATAGACTTAGCTTAAAAGGACTTCTGAGGGCCTACAAAGTTGTTCTGTATGAGTTTATAGGGCCCAAATCTTAGGAATTATTTCTTCTTAGATAAGTAAATAGCATTCTTACTTCTTAGAGTTTTGTGGTAGTTTAGGTGAATATAAATAATAATTTATACAAAAAATTTTACATGACATATTTTCTGTGAAATTAGAGTTTTATCATATTGAGAGGTAGTGTGGCATAATAGATGGTCAGCCTTGGAGGTAAGAAGATGAAGTCCTGTCTCTGACAAATACTGTCTTTGTCATGGTAAGCAAATCAGTCTCTCAGTGCTCTACACCAAACTTTTCTGACCTTGCACCCTTATCAGTAAAAAAAAAAAATTGAACATACACTCCCTCAGTAAAACACAAAAATAATAATTAAAATATAGAGGTAAAAGTAGAGTAACATTTGATAATAGAACCAATAAGGGAAGGTCTGGAATTTATTTATGGCCAGGAAAATCAATTTGGCTGCTGTTATCCATGATGGAGAGGGAAGGAAAAGAGACTGGAGATAGTGAGAACAATTAGAAGGCTATTGGCATATTACTGCTAGGTCTGTATCACAAAGAGATGAAAGGAAAAAAATATGTCTGTGTGTGTTTGTGTATGTGTATATGTGTGTATATATACAAGCACAAACACAAATATTTATAGCAGCTCTTTTTTGTGGTGGCAGAGAATTGGAAATTGAGGAGATGCTCATCAATTGGGGAATTGCTGAACAAGTTGTGGTATGTGATTATTTTGGAATATTATTGTGCTATAAGAAATGATGAGCAGGATGGTTTCAGAAAAACTTGGGATGACATATATGAACTGATGCAAAGGGAAGTGAGCAGCATCAGGTGAACATTGTACACAGTAATAGCAATATTGTAATGATGATCAGCTGTGAAAGTCTTAGCTCCTCTGATCAATACCAGTGATCTAAGACAATTTCAAAGGACTCATGTTGAAAAATACTATTGACCTCCAAAGACAGAACTAATGAAGCCTGAGTGAAGATTGAAGCATAACCTTTTCACTGTCTATATTTTTCTTGCCTTTTTTTTGCATGACTAATACGAAAATGTTTTGCATGATTTCACAAGTATAATTGATATCACATTTCTTGCCTTTTTGGTGGGTGGAGGAGGGGCAGGAGGGAGAAAATTAGAACTCATATGTTTTTAAGGAATGCAGAATAAAGAAATAAACAAATTTATTTTTAAGAGAGGAAGACTATTAGCAGAGTACCTGGTGAGAGGTGATGAAGGTCTAAGCTAGGATGATGGCAGTGTGAATAGAGAGAAGATGGAGTTGTGGAAGTAAAAATAAGATTTGGCAACTGAGTGATATGTTGATGTAGGATAAAAGGAAAAAAGGAATCTAAATTGACACTGAGGATGTGAGAACCTGGGTGCCTGAGAGGATAATGGAATCCTCAGTAGTAACAGGGAAGTTTGGAAGAATGAGCAGTTGTCCTGAGGGACCAACATCTAGCTCAGACTGGAGAAGATTGGAAGAGTAGGTTAAAGACAAGCCCCATGATGATTGGCTGTTTCATCAGTGAGGGACAGAGAATGTGATCTGTCTTTTCACATTCTATGTGTTGATCACATAGTCATGTCCTAGCTTCATTTTGGAGACCACTGCCCTGGACAACTCTTTTAAGATTGTAATTTGCAGAACAATTATTCATGTGCATTGGTAGTTTCTTCATTCAGAATTCCTCATACCAATGAAATTACAGATCTAGTCCATGTATTGTGATACTGCTGAAAACAGATATTGTCACTCTATTTCAAAATGTTTGTCGAATTGTTTATTAAAACAGAAGCTAGCTACTTTGAGCCCAGAAAATTATGTCATATTGCTCTTTTTACTGATTGAAATAATTACTTCTGTTTTAAACTTTAGAATGTTCTTTTTCATCTTATTTTACAGGATAATGTAATTATAGTTTTTGCGTTATGCTTTTATTTACAGACATCCGGTGGCATCTTTTTTCCATTTGTTCTTTCGAATCGGTGCAATAATTGTCTATCTTCTGTGTGAATTGCTAAGCAGCAGCTTTATTGCCTGTATGGTGACAATTATCTTGTTATTATCGTGTGACTTTTGGACTGTGAAGGTATGCTTTATTTTTAAGTATTCAGCATTTAATCAGACACTACGCTAAGCATTGAGGATACAAAGAAAGTCATAAAACAGACCCTTGAGGAGCTTACAGTCTCAAAAGGACAAGCTGAAAAGGTTGGGGAAGAAGGAGGAGAATGAATGCTGATATTCTGTAGCCACTGTGAGAAATGATCTGAGGACGTGAGTGTTTCAGAGTTGATTTCATCTTGCAGAATAATGAGTTTCTGGTGATCATGAAGTCCAAGAAAGTAGCTCAGTGGAAAATGATGAGGTGAATTCTCTAGGTGCCCCCTTTAAATGGTGGAAGGCCTGAGAGGAGCTCTCCATTATCTACACTCCACCTTTCCAGTCAGAGGGAGGAATATCCTCAGGGGCTGGGAGTGCTGAGGAATTTCAGAGTTCATTTCATCTTGATAAAGCAGGATTGTTTTAAAATATCAAGGGACATGAGACTTTCCAGTTTTAGTATATATGTATTGCAAAAATGAATACAGTTTGAGACTTTTGTAGATATTTTTGGCAGGGGTTAATTGCTGGAGTTGTTCCATCCTGTTAAATTATACCAAAAAGCAGAAATAAAGTAGAACATTACCCCTGCATCTGTGATTCTCAGACTTTTCCATGGGAATGTGATGTTCCAGAATGATAGTTTTTCCATCTAAAATATTGTTACTGTTTCTTGATATAAAAATAGGCTTAATTTCCTCTTCTTTGTTCCAAAATTTTCCCCAAACCTTCTAAGTCTTCCAGATTAGAATTTATGGATCTCAATATATTTTGAGCCCCAAAGTGTTCCATGGTGAACCCTTCATTTTTGGTTGTACTATGAGTCACTTCCTAGCCTTAAAAAATAAAATAGTGATTTTCCCTGGAGATACAGACCTCATTTCCTGCTTCTAGGTAATTCTGTAAAATCTGTAAAACGAGCTGGAGAAAGAAATGGCAAACTAGTCCAATATTTTTGCCAAGAAAACCACAAATGAGGTCAAGAAGAGTCAGACATAACTGAAACAGCAGAACAAGAACAACATTGGTCTCTCCTAAATATTATTTCTTTTTTCGATTTTTGTGACATTTTTCTTTCTCTTGATTCTCCTTCCTGTCTGCCATTCCCTTCTTAGTCTTCTTTAATAGATCATCATGTGTTAATACAAGTCATTAAACCTTGCTGGGCCTCAGTTTTGTTATCCACAAAATGAGGAGAATTCGACTAGATGACCTTTGAGGTACCTTCTAGTTCTCAGTCTACGATACTATGTTCTCTAGTCCCCCTTAATTATCTTGGCTGCCAAGAATCTGTCCTGGGCCATCTTCTCTTATCAACATATGCTTTTCATTGGTGATCTTGGATATATTTGTAGGAGCAATTATTTTTATGTAGATGAATCCCTAATTTATATATACAGCCGTACCTATTCTGTGTCCTCTAGTTCCACATTTTTCAGCTCCATGATGGATATTTTTATCTAAATGTCACACCAGCACCTTAAGCTTAGTATGTCTATGCCTAGGTTCACTGTCTACCATCCTGGATCCTATCCCCTTCCCCAAGTGTCCAATCATTGTCTTTGTCACTCAGGTTTGAAACCTCAGATTCATTTTTCACTCTGTTCTCCCCCTTAATCATGTCTCAAGTCTTCTCTATACTGCCATCCTCTTAAGATTTGAGTCTCTTTACTACTCACTGATTTATTGTAGTAGCCTCCTCATTTGTTAATCTGCCCTTCAGCTGTGCCCTTCTTCAGTCAAACTTCCAGAATAATATTCTAGGGTACATGTCATTCCTCTGCTCAAAAACTTTTAGTTACTTCATGCTATTTCCAGGATAAAATACAAACATTTTAGCCTGGCCTTTAGGGCCCTCCACAGTATAGCTCCTGTGTACCCTTCCTGCCTGATTTCAGTTACTCATCACTTCATGCAGTCTGTGATCTTGCCAGATGTGAATACTAGCTGTAACCTGAACTATACCTGTTTAACTTGAGATAAAATATGTAAAAAGCTTTGTAAACCTTAAAGCTCCATATAAATTCTATCTGTTATTATTTCTTCTGCCTCTGCATTTGTACGAGCTTTCCCTCATGACTGGAATGCACTCCCTCCTCATCTATGCTTTTTTGAGTTTCTTTGTATTCGAGGTATCTCAGGTGTCATCTCCTTTTATCATCATCATAGCTAGCTTTATATAATTCATATAATGCAAGCTTTTTACAAATATTATCTCATTTTATCACAACATTCCTTCACAAAGACTTCCATTATTCGCCCTTTTATTAGTGTTCCCATCATCCTCAAATATTTCTAGACAGTCTGATCTCTTTGCTCCTTTTACTCATCTTGTATCACACTCAGTCTGTGTTTTTGTTGTATTTTCTCTTGCTCACTCCCCTATTTACTTTTTTTTTTGGTATGCCCAATGTCTAGTACAGTGCTTTGCACATAGTAAGCATTTAAGAAATATTTGCTGAATTAAGTTGTCATTGCTCTTTGAAAAACTGAGCGTATGCATAGTACTGAAACACATAAATCTAAGAGTACTGCCGTGTGCAAAAAGTCAGCATACGAAAGGGAGAATAGGACGACTAGGTTATTAGCTGTCTAAGAAGGGAGCTATTATATATGTATGGGATGTTGGAGTCGGCATAGATTAAGTGTTGTTATGGAAACTGGGCTTAGTGTAGCTATTTTAGAATGTATGCTTTATGTCTTAGGGAATCAGATTTGGATATCTTAGGAGTATGTGTCCTGAATGTCCCTATAAATTGATTTTCAGTTGCATTGGTAGGGGGTTAGGGTGCCCCCAAGAATAGAGATAGCTAAATAAAGGAAGAAAGGAAATAAGGAAGGGAAGGAAACAGAGGGGTGAGAAGAGGTCAGGTCAACAGAAGAACAAGGGTATTAGAGATAAAAGAGAAGAATGGAAGATGGGTCAAAGTGTTTAAGAGAGAAAGGAATTGTTGATTGTGGAAATTCTTACTCTTTTTTTTTGTCTGCTTATATTTTTCCTGCTGTTGCCCTCTATTATCCATTAACCTTTGACCAGACTTAATTCTTCCTAATTCCTCATTTATTTTCCTTACTACTAGATATGAAGGAAATGAAAGTGAATATTTATTGAGTATTCCTATTGAGGGTTGAAGTGTTTGTTAGTGGTATACGTGTGTGTGTATTTTTTAAATTATTTTCATTTTTTTACAGAATATAACAGGGAGGCTCATGGTTGGCTTGCGCTGGTGGAACCATATAGATGATGATGGAAAGAGTCACTGGGTGTTTGAGGCTCGAAAAGTAAACTTCTTCCATTATTATTTTTGTCATTTGGTTATGGTAGCTTTAAGAGTATTTTACAGGTGAACTATATAATATTAGAAACAATAGCTACTTAATAGAAACCCAAAATCACTTGCTAAAGCCAGTGATCTGACTGGGATGAATTTGTAAAATCTTTTAGATTGTTTAGCCCGTCATTTTTTTAATTCACAAAAAATAAAGCATATCCTGTTCTAATAAACAAATAAATTGATTACATTATAAATTAAGCTCAGTACTCTTTATATAATTTCTTATTGACCTCAGCTCAGCATTCCTCTGGTATCTTGGTATGGCTCCCTCTTTTCTTAGGATAAAAAAGTCAAGGGTTTAAGAAGAATTGTGGCTAAGGAGATATGAGTTTGAATAGCAAAGTACATTACATTGTACTTTGTACAACTGTCACCTAGGACTCTCCAAGCTATCCTTACCAAATGATCTTTCTATAGTGAAGATCCCTAGGTTATTGTCTGAATGTCTTTGTGTATATGATTGTATTTTTAGATAAGGTGTTTCTTACCAAGTTCTGGACTTGTTGATAATAAATAACACAAAATACACTATTGAATTCAAGTTCTTTCGTAGGAATTGAAACAAGAGAAAAGGACCTCTTCAGAAGCTGAGTCACGAATTTTTTGGTTAGGATTAATTACCTGTCCAATTATGTGGGTGATATTTGCCTTTAGTGCTCTCTTCTCCTTCAAATTGAAGTGGTTGGTAAGTACCAGTTTAGTGACCCACATTTTAAATGAGAAAGCTTCTGCCTTCTTTGTAGCTATTTAAATAAACAGGTTATTTAAATAAGCAAAAACATCCATCTATGTATTGTGTGGATGTTACCTGTTCCCACCTTATACCTCTATTCCTATTGGAAATAAGCAATCAAAAGGCTTGTCTCACCTAGTTTTAAGAACAGGGAGGTATGCAGAATTGTTTTAGCCTTTCTTCTAATAATTAAAGGTAATAGCTTGGGCTAGATTGTGTAGACTTGGAAAGGAAGAGCTAGGTTCAGATTCTGCCTTAGAACCTCACTAATTATATTCTCCTAGGTAAATCATTTAACTTCTTTATGTTTCAGAGAGCCCACCAGGACTGTTTACTACTGTGTATTGTCTACCTAAACTATTCCACTGATCCACCACTCTATTTCTTAGCCGGTAACAGATTGTTTTGATGATTTGAAGCAGATTTCTCTGATAAAGACCTCATTTCTCAAACATAGAGAACTGAGTCAAATTTATAAAAATAAGAACCATTCCTAATTACTAAGTGATCTAAAGATATGAACAGTTTTCAGATGAAGTAATCAAAGCTATCTATAGCCATATGAAAAAAAAATATTCTATCTCACTGTTGAATGGAGAAATACAAATTAAAATAATTCTGAGGTACTACCTCATACCTATTAGATCAGCTAATAGGACAGAAAAGGAAATTGAGAAATGTTAGAGGGGATGTGGGAAAAATGGAGTTGTGAACTGATTTAGCCATTCTGTAGAACAATTTGGAACTATGCCCAAAAGGCTATAAAACCATGCATACCCTTTGATCTAGCAATACCACTACTAGGTCTGTATCCCCAAAAAAGAGAAAACAAAAAGAAAAGGACCTATCTGTACAAAAATATTTGTAGCAGCTCTTTTCTGGTAGCAAAATGTGGAAATTTAGGGGATGCTCATCAATTGGGGAGTGGCTCAACAAGTTGTGGTATGTGATTATGATGGAATAATATTGTGCTATAAAAAATGATGAGCTGGATGCACTCAGAAAAACCTGGAAAGTCTTAGATGAGCTGATGCAAAGTGAAATGTACTATGTGCAAAGTAACAGCAATATTGTAAAATAATCAGCTGTGAATGACTTAGCTAATCTCAGCAATACAGTGATCCAGGACAACTCTGAAGGACTTATGAGAAATGCTATCCGTCCTCAGAGAAAGAACTGATGGTGTCTGAATACAGATTGAAACATACTTTTTTAAACGTTCCTTCATTTTTCTTGAAGTTTTTTATTTTGGTCTTATGTTTTTTTTCACAACATGGCCAACATGGAAATGTTTTACATGACTACACATATATAACCTGTAGCTAGTTGTTTGCTTTCTCAGTGGGGGGGGGGCTGTGTGAGTGGGGAGGGAGGAAGAGAGAGAATTTGGAACTCAAAAGTTTTTAAAATGAATGTTAAAAATTGTTTTTGCATGTACCTGGGGAAAAGTAAAATTAAAAAAAATGACCTTGAAATGACTGACTAATCCACTGTAAAACCAAACCAAACCACACAAAACAAAAACCAAAATTATTCTACCATTCAGTAGTCATACCCATCAATCTGCTCTTAGCTTCAAAGTATTGAATATTATGAATATTATGAATGCAGAAGCATTTATGAAGTGCTTACTGTGTACCAACTTCTGTGCTAATCATTGAGGTTGCTAGGAGACTGTCCTTTCTAGAAGCTTACATTCAATAGAAGAAGATAATACTTATGGGAGTTTTGTGTTTTGATCAGGGAAGTCAGAGAGAAACTAGAACTCAAATACATTTTTATTGAATCTAGTTGTTATAAATACTCAAAACAAAACAGTGACTCACCTATGCAGTCCTCATCTTAATTTGTTTACTTATTTGTAAAGTATAACTATCTCTGAAACACTTGAAAAGTTGTTTGCATAGAGGGTAACATCAGGACACGTAAGTCTGTAACTTAATTTTTCACATAATAACCTCATTCCTTTCACAATCATCTCTTGGGTAACTTTCTGTTTTGTGAGCAACCCACTTGTAATCATGAGATAAAGGTAAGATTTGTTTTTGGTTTTGTTTTTGTTTTAACATTATTTGAGAAGACTATCAAATGATTTTTCTCCCTTTTTCAGGCAGTAGTCACCATGGGTGTGGTACTACAAGGTGCTAACCTGTATGGCTACATCCGATGCAAAGTAGGCAACCGAAGCAATTTAACTAGTATGGCTACCACTTATCTTGGAAAGCAGTTCTTGAAACATGTAAGTAGTTTCTGGGTGGAAGAGCATTTAGAATAGGAACAAAAATCATAACCAATTTTGTGCCTGGTCAGCATTTAATGCAGTGATTTTTATTTTGAAGTTGTGACAACTTAGTTCTTTTAAGTAAAATTCCCCTGCATAAAAATGCTATAAATACATTTGTATTTAAAGTTATATAATATAGGTTAATTTTGATTTAAGAATTTAAGGGATTTTAGACGCACCTTTGAAGTAATTGGAAATGTTCTAGGGTTGTTTCAAATCAGTGAATGAGAAATGGTGACCTAATGCTTTGTCAGCTCTCTGGTTTGAAGATCAATAATAACACTAAATTTATCTTTTATGAAAATTGTGTTGTACATTATTTTAGCATGTTATGAAGGTACAGAATTAAACTATTTTGAAGAATTTTTACACTATAATAATATTTTGGGGGTCATAGTGAAGAATAAGCTGAAAAAAATAGGGTCATGTCATGAAATTTAAAGTTCAGTTTTATTGGAGATATTAAGAAAATTTTCAGAGGGCAATGTTTTCATATAGTTTCAGTATACTGTGAGTGATAACTTGTAATTTTTTTGGTGTCATCTTTCCCTTAAATAAAATTTCTAATTTTCCTTAAAGGAAAGTGACTTTGAGTGGCAAAAATTTGGTCAAAATTATATAATAGATAGTTTAGGTTATTGTAACTTTATGCTATCCACAGTAAATATTCTGATGAATGTTGATGAATGAATTCTTACGAATGTACCTAAAAAACAGCAGTCAGTATAGTATCAGTTAATGATAATTTCCAAACAACACACACACACGTTTTAACATAACCTTCATTGAAGTGAGGAGAATTTAATAGGGTAGCTTAGTCAGTAAGCATTTATTAAGCACCTACTCTATGCAAGACATTGTGCTAACTCACCTATTTCTGCTTATAGGTCTTTCCCTGTTTGTCCTTTGATACCTTTTAAGAGTATGAATCAAATAATTTTAAATTATAATTTAATATGAAAATTTTCCCGTTTTTTTCAGAACATTAAAGATGATCAGATATCTTGAAGATAAAGAGAAGAAATACATCTTGTATTGAGGAACAACTGAAGAGATTGTCTTGATCCTTTTGGAGTCGAGTAAATATCTCGGGGTGGGGGAAATCATTAGAGATTTTTCTCATTTAAATAATTTTTTTATAGGAAGATATTGCTTTTAGCATAAAATCTGTCTTAGGATTCTTTTTTTTTTTAAGGTTATTGCCTCAAAACTGAATAGGGTGTGCATATTCATAATTTTAGAAGAGGAGAAATTATCTAAAATAGGAGTTATGTTGAATATTAGCTTGCATTTCATAAATTATTTCCATTTGTACAAAACACTATATATCATGGTGAAATTTTTCACCTAAATTATAAATAAGCAAATAAAATTATATGCCATACCCAATTTGTCAGTACTGTTAAATTTAAGTAATTTTAATGGGAGGTGTTTTTATGGTTTATTCAGCAAACTGTTGATTCATGTGCTATTTATATATGTAACTTGTTATAGCAATCTGTATAGTTTATATTAGTATGCGTGTGTGTGTGTGTGTACATATATATGTGTATATATAGTTTTTATGCTTCTAATTAGTTGAGACATAGCTGTACATTTCACTTTAAATTCTTATTTTGGAAAATCATACCAAGCATAATGAAAATTTGAGTGACACAAAATGTACACATAATAATGAATTATTTTTTGTGTTAGGTTGAAAATATTTATTGGCATGGCAAATGCCTAAAGTCACATTTTGTTTTTAGAATTTCTTTTGTTATTGAGAGAATTGGAGTATTGGAAATTATAGGATTAAATTATAACATATTTTACTTAAGTAGTTCTGTAAATTTTACTTGTATATTTTGCCTGAAAAGATTGCTTTATGAATATATATATTGTAAAAAAAATTAAGATTTTATTTAATTGGGTAAATTACCTTTAGTGACAGTTGTGATGCACAATCATTTTAGTGTATTGTTTTTAGAAAATTTTCTTTTTGTTAAGTGGAAAATATCTTTGTTGTATTTGATTAATTAAATATTTCTGCCCTGCAGAGTAATTATACACACACTCACCTAGTACAAGAGGACACATTTAGTCAATCTGTCTTAAGTGCTGGGAGTACAATGAAAGGCAAAAACTAAAAATCAATCCCTGCCTTCAAGGGGCTGATATACTCTTTTGAAGCAAACATTTTATCCTCCCTCAGAACCCATTCAGTTAGGCTCTAGGCATTCTCTCTGGCAACCTATAACTTCTTAGTAATAGAAAGGGTGTTGGATTTGGAGTAGAAGGATTTGGAGTTGAATCTTGACTGATTTATCTGAACCTAAACAGTTAACCTCTCAGGACTTCTCAGGGTGCCTCTGAAGTTTAAAGCTGCAGTCATATGTATCTGAGTTTTGTTACCTTTTAATATGGGCTTTACTTATATTCTTGTATATTTTGTGCATATTTTTCTTCTGCCCCTACATTCTTCACTCTGTATCACTTCATCAAGTTCTTCCTACGTGGCTCTGAATTTTTATTATTGTTTTGTATGATGTAATAATATTCCACAGTTTATTCCACAATTACCCAACTGTTAAAAACATTTTGTTACTAATTTTCAAAATTATTGCCAATAGTACTGCTATGAATTTATTTGTGTATATGGTTTTCCTCTTGCTGAAATTAACCTCCTTTGTAGTATAAATACTATGTATATTTTATATATTATACATTTATATATAAATTCTGTATGTTGTCTCTGAGTCAAAGGGCATGAACCCTTACTAACTTTTCTTTATTAACAAATTTTTTCTAAATATGCCAGTTCTGTATTAAGGTGCCTTATTTCTCACAACTTCAATAACGTTGAATTTTCATATCTTAACCAATTTGATGGTATGAGATCTAGCTTGAAAATTTTTTAAATTTGTATTTCTTTGGTTACTAGTGATTTTGAGCAATTTTTTAGACCATTATAACTTGGATTTATTTTGAAATAAATAAAATAAATTGATAAAGTTGATAAAGCCATAGATTCAAGGTTGTCCTCTAGTCCAACCTTTTCATTTTACTTAAGATGAAATGAAGGCCCAGAAATGTTAATTGATTCACCCAAGATTAGATCCAAATAAGCAGAACCAGGATTCAAATTCTGATGATTTGACTCCATTCCCCTCTACTGCTACTCTATTGGAGGATGGCTCTTGATCTTACAGATTCATGTCCGTTCTCAGAATTTGAACTAAAGATTTTGTAACCTTGCTTGAATCATTTGATCTCATTAGGCCACAGTTTCTTCATTTGTAAGTTTAGGAGGTTGCACTGGATGGTTACGAAGGGCTCTTCTAATTCTGTAATTCTGTAACCCTGGGCAGTTAAGTGATGCAATAGATAAGAGTACTGGACCTGGAGTCAGGAAGACTCATCTTCCTGAATTCAAATCTGGCCACAAACACTTCTAGCTCTGTGACCCTAGACAAATCACTTAACCCTTTGTGCCTCAGTTTCCTCATCTGTAAAATGAGCTAGAGAAGGAAATGGCAAACCACTCTAGTGTCTTTGCCAATAAAACCCCAAATGGGGTAATGAAGAATCAGACACGACTGAAAAAATACTGAACAACATTAAAAACAATCTTGTAGTGGTAGAGTCTTACACTAAATGCTAATATTCCCATCTACCCTATCCCCTCCATTCATAATGTTTTGCTTATAGCTGTATTGGTTTTTGTGCAAGAGCTTTTAAATGTGTACAATTTCCTCTGTTCCTCTGCCTAAAACTATTCCTTACCTTTACTTGATCTTCCATTTCTCCACCCATCCCTGTCCCCCAAGTCCATCATCCTTGCTCTGGTTTCACTTCTTTTCCTCATTTCTCAACCGTCTTGTCCTAATGGTTGACCAGTAAAACTGTTCACTATTACTTACTCTTGAATCCTTTGTCTCCTTATTCTGTAACCAGTCATGCCTAATTTTGCATTAGCATCACCATTTGCCTTTTCTGCTTCTATTCACATTTTACTAAATGCTGCTAGATGAAAATACTCCCAAAGCTATGGATGAATTAGTGAATTATCGTTCTTAGTGCTGAATGAACTAAAAAAGTATTCACAATTCCATACACTTTGAGCCATTGACTCCATTACTGGGCTTATGTCCCAGGAAGAAAAAGCCCTCATATATTCCAAAGTATTTATAGCAGCACTTTTTGTGATAGCTAAGAATTGGACACAAAATAAATGCAAATCACTTGGGGATGGCTAAACAGATTGTGATTCATGAATATAATGGAATATTGCTGTGTTGTAAGAAATTATTTATGTAATGGTTATAGAGAAGCATGGTATCTATATGAGACGATACAGAGAAAAATAAGCAGAGCCAAGAAAACAAATATACACTAACTACAACAATGTACAAGGAACAGGGACACCAAAAAGTAAATAACCAAATTATTGAAGATCAAAAGGACTTGAAATAAGAGATATGAGAAGACATTCCCAACCTACACTTTTATGGAGGTGGGAGATCCACAAGTATTACATATTGCACACGTTTTCGGACTTATTCAATGTATTGATCAGTTGTGCTGATCTCTAAAAATAGTATTTGTCATATGCGATGGCTCTCTAGGAGAGGTAAGGGGAGAGATGTGGGATACTGTTGTGTTGCAGAAGAAGCAGAAAATATCAATAAAAACATTTTTAAAATGCTCTATAATATAAGCAGATAAAACAACACAAGGTACTGAAAGTAGAATGAGTACTAAAACATCATTGGTAATTGGGAACTGTTTAACAAAATAAAAATACAATAGAATATAGATAACATATGGTTTTCTAAGTCAGTATGTGGCCAGCAGTGATCCTTTGATCCTTTTTTTTTTCCTTTTGGGAGGCAACTGGGGTTAAGTGTCTTGGCCAGAGTCACACAGCTAGTGAGAGTTATGTGTCTGCGGCTGGATTTGAACTGGGATCCTCCTGACTCCAAGGCCAGTATCCTATCCACTGTACCACCTAGCTGCCCCGCTTTGATCATTTTTAGAGGCCCCATTTCTATTTGAGTTTGAATTGTTTGACATCTTATCTAAACAACCCAAACATAAGAAAAACAAATACTGAGGAAAGAAAAATTAATAGCATTAATTACTTGGTCTCTAGACACCATTAAAAAAAAGACTGAACTATAAGGTTAGAAAGGGAGGACTGTTACGAGATTTTTCTTAAAAAGTACACAAGGGACTAAAAATGAAATCAGAATTTAAAGAAAGAGAAATGATAGTGGAGAAGCAGGTGAATTGATGTGTTTTGTCAAACAATATGAGGGAGCAAAAATGCACTAGAGGAATGCTGGTCACAGGGGAATTGTGATATGCCCTAATAAGGAAAGATAGTCTTCAGCAAAACAGAGCTACTGGAGAATGAGATAATTGGCAGAAGGCAAGGGTTGAGGTAGGAGGAATGGAAAGGGGAGGTCTCAAACCAGGGTGAACATTGAAGAACATTCCTATGGGAGAAGACAAGTTGATAATCAAGCATTTATTACATGCCTACTATGACATTGTGCTAATGTCTAGGGATTAGGGATACAGAGAAAGCAAAAAAGACAGGTCCTGCTCTCAAGAGTTCACAGTGTAAAGGTGAGACAACATGTAAACTGCTATAAAAACTGCACACATGCAAGATAAGTTGGGCGTAGTCCTAGAGGGAAAGCACTAAGATTAAGGTGAATTAGGAAAGGTTTCCTGCAGAAGTGGCTCTTTAGTTGAGACTAAGAGAAGCGTTGGATAGCTTCAGAACCATAGGTTGGAGGGCTTAGGTTGAGGAGGATAGGAAAAGGAGTATTATGGAGAATAGAGAATATAGTAGAGAAAGGGATTTGAACAAAAGCAACTGGGTATTCAGAATCACTGGGATGGGGCGAGTCTGATGGGGAAGTGTGGTAAACATTGAAAAATGAGTTAATCTAGAGCTATGAAGGGGTAGTGATGGTGGTGGTGGTGGAGAATTGCCTGGAGGGTGCCAGGGGAGCACAGCAGACCTTGGGGAAATATAGGTAACTACAGATGGTGCCTGCCTGGAGCTTGATAGAAGAGCCAGGTGGGCTAGTAGATTCTGCTAGCCTAGAAGAGCAGTACAGAAGGACCTAGGATATAGGTGGTGATAGATGGTGCTTGCCTAGAACTCAATTGAAGAACAATGCAGGACCATGGATTTTTAGAGAATCCAGGCCAAAGGTGTTTATAATGGAAGAGAGGGACCCTACAGTGGTTTAATTTGGATGAAGTTGGAACATGTGGAGCATGGCATATTTTGTGATTTTTTTATGTATTGATTAGTTTTGCAGAATTTTTTTTCTCTTTTTGAAAAAAGTTCTAAGTAATGGCTGTTAAGGATATACAGGGAAATGTGAGTGATGCAGAACAAAAGTTGATAAGAAAAAAAAAATTTTTTTAAAGTCTAATATGCTGTATTTCACACCTGTGGACTACCCAGCTCTGAAAAGAAGTATTATCTTCTCATATCTATTCTTTGCTGCCAAGTTTGGTCTTTATTATTTCAGAACATTCATGTGCTTTTTTTGTTGTTACTGTTCTATTTACATTGTTGAACTCAATGAGCACATTTTTTATAATTCTCATTTCATTTTGCATTAGTTAATATAGCTTCTCTGTATTAATCATATTTGTTTTTTTCTTACTGCACTATGTAACATTACCCCATTTGGTAGGCATCTACTTTGCTTCCAGCTTCTTGGCTATTTGGGACCCTATATAGAGCCTTTTTTTTTTTTTGGCATTGATCTTCTTGATATGAATACCTAGCAGTAGATTCTCTGGATCAAAATGTCTGA